CACAGCCGAAAAGCCTCTGAAATTCAAATTTCAGTTGTGTGGCTGTATAAATGTACGCAGGGAAATATACATTTAGACGTTTGCTGAGGTGCTTTGACGAGGTCTCGGCGGCAGGCTGTATAACTGAAGAGGTGAAAAATAAGATGAGGTTTTGGACTACCTGAGGACTGCAGGCAGACCAGGCTCTGTTAACGGTCAATATTTACCTTTCCAAGAAATGTAAAGGGATTTAATAGCATTGTTTTTTAAGGTTTACAGGAGGGCTCAAATGTTTAAATTTGCATTAGTATTTCAGTACAGTTTTTTAACAAATTAATTAGTGATAAGTGGCTTTCACTGTGACAAACACACATACTAATAGCATCCTTTCAATAAACTGTAAGCAAAGGTTTACACCTAGCGCCTTCTTTGACACTGTGGTCAGACACGTGTCACTCTCTTCAACAACACCATCAAACCTTAAAAGACTTGTTATAAATACTCAAAAATGATCCTCAAACGGTATAAACAGTGGCACAGCTGAACGACTCTATTTCTAGGCATCCTAGACTTTAACTCTCTCTATTCCTCTGACAAAGAGAAGTTTCCCTTGTGTGTGCTTGAGTGTCTCTCCCCAGGATTTCAGAAATGGAGATCATGAAGTAAAGGTTTCACTTTCTGGTGTTCTTTTCATCAGCAGCAGTGAACTCTAATACCATCTTCATTGGTACGTTCTTGGCATTAGTCTGTGTAACGGCAGAGAAACTGTACCAGCTTGTGTGTGTGTGTGTGTGTGTGCGATTGAGTCTGCATGCTGTACTCCAACTGGCCGAGGAGACGATCCATTCTCCCATCAAATATTCACGAGCAGCTACAGGCTCCCAGCTGCTTGCTGCTGTAATGCGCACACACGTTGGAAAAAAAAGCGGCTGATAAAATGCTTGAACAGACAAGGATGAGGATATTCTTTCATTTCATGCAGCTCCGCTTCAAGTCTAACTTCATACAGCTACACATGGATGGACGGAAACTCCTACCTGAATGCAAGCTGGTTGGTTTGCTAGATCGTGAGCGTTCATTCCCACTCAGAGGGAAACTCAGAGAATATTAAAGCTGTTTGTATAATGCCCCCCCCCCCCCCCCCCCCCCCCCCAATTGTGCAAATCTGGTTTGTCAAAGTGGTGGCAATGTTAATAAACGCTAACGAATAAAGCCAAGATTGACATATGAATAGTTTGATTGAAAGACCAGGGAGAGAAAGGATAAACGTCACTGTCTCCATTTACACTGCAGGGTGGCTTATTTATTTACGGTTTTGTAATCAGCCATGTGACAAGATCCACCTCCATCTAATCTATTTATAAATGATAGTATCTTTGAAAATAGAACAAAAAATGAATGTCAAAACTCAAAATCCAATATGACTCAAATGTGAACTGTTATTTAATGTCTAAGATAATTTAAGGATACTGTAAACTGTTACCACTGATGAGCTGTTAATCATAATTTGCTTCAGATGTGGTAAAACAGACCTCTTCAAAAAATCCATTCTGCAAAAGGGCCACACATAAATAATATTCCTATTTGGGGAATTCATTTCATGGATGACTTGTTTCATGTTATCATTAAATGCCATCAGCAGCGGTGCCTTAAACGTAACAGGATTGGTTGATGGACGGCGTCAGAAATGTATTGGAGCAAATCTTCATTACACTTGCACACATATAATAATGCAAATACTCATTTGCAAGGATGTGATATGCAAATGTGGACACTTGATGAAGTCTTCCAATGCATTGATGAGGCCTGATTACAAAATCCTTGTTTTATTTTGTACATTAGTGGGTCTGTCTAGTAAGAATTAGGTGGTGGAGGAAAAATAAAGCTGGTGCATTAGTTTCAGTGGTGTCTTACATTTGAGACCAGCCAAATTGAATAATTTACAAATGTACTGCAAGAGTCTTTAAATACTTTTTCTTAAAATGTCACAAAGGGGAAAAAATCTGCTTAATACTTTTAATTAGATCACTCAATAAATCCTTGCTTTTTTCTGTTGTAGTAAAGACTGTTGGCAACTTGCAGCCTAAAGCAATGTCTCTTACTGCAGTTTTGAGTCAGCAGGTTGCTGATTCAGTCAAAATGTCGCCTTGAGCGTGGTTTTCTTCGTCCCTTTACGGGGACGAAAATCTCACTTTTCATGCAGTGTTATCTCCTCTCCGCAGTTGGAGAAAACCATACCTTTCATCTTTGTAAAAATATTAGTTATTGTTTGGTAATCTTCGATTATTTATTCATGACTTGTTTGTCATTCTAATGATTCAGACATTAAAGCATATTATATAAATGCTCATTTTATGCAATTCTTATGATGATGATTTTATATAACATGTTGGATCTATACATTTTTTATGACTATGGATATAGAGCAATTCCTGTTATTACACTACATGCCTGAGTGAAGTGCTTCAAGCTGTTCCATTTCATGTTTCATTTTCTTTGTAAGTGATCTTTAAGTGAAACCCCATTATCCAGTGTTTTATTGCGCAATAGCATTTGGAGTACAATCCTAGACTTCATAAATTATGTAGAGCCAACATGGTGTGTGTTGATTCACTGTTTAACAGCCTTGACCAGCTGTTGGCGCTAGAGATGGTCAGAGTGATGTAATGAGAAAGATGCCGGGATAAAGATGTGGATTAGAGGCGAGAGCAACCCCCACAGGAGCTACAGATGTAGTGATTACACCCAGATTAATGACACAGCACATGCGTCACAAACATGTCATTCACAAAATCCACGGCCAGAGGATCACCTCCACTGAACATAATGTTCTTTAATGCACACAGACACAAAAACAAGGGGCCAAAGAGGACGTAGAGTTTTATATATGCACAGCACCAGTCCAACGTTTACTGGACGGGCATTTCAAAAAAGGAAAACTCATTCATTAATTCTTCATCAATGGTAGTCATTTTCTTAGTCAAGCCTGACAGCGTTATCTCATTTCTACCTATCTATACATCTTCCATCAGGTACCAAATCCGGCTGCACCATAATTCAAAGAAGCGTTGGTCCCAGGAGAGTCGGAGCCACACGGCGTGGCGAGCATAGGGACTCACATCCAACCACGTCTTCCTCGGCTTTTTACTTTCACCGCTTCGCTCGCTCTACGCTCTCACTGACTCACTCTGCAGTTTCGGCTTCCCTTGAATGCCAGCAGTGAAAAAAGGCCAGATGATCTATGTCTTGCGTCTCTCGTTTCCGCTTGGCTGTCCTCCCTGGGATTTGTGAGCTGGGAGAAACAGAGTGTTGTGGGTGGTAGGCATTATTTATACGGCCTATTGAGTAATGTTGAATGGATGGAGAGAATTGTTGTTCGGCCGTATGTTGCATCTGGTTTTGGAAACCACATATGGGAGGAAAAAAGAAAATGGACACAGGCATATTTCTAGACACAAAATCGCAATCGGTCAGTCCGACCTCTCCCACTGCTGGTTGTTTTTTAGAGCTTCTCACAGCCGAGGGGCCGATTTTGTAGCTTACATACAGTTGTGTCAGCAAGACAACACAGAGTACATGTTGACACGCCGCTTTGTGTCCACAGTGTGCTCATGTCTGTATTATTTCAGAATCCCTTTCTAATTTGGTATTTTTTGTGTGCGTTTGAAATCATATCTCTAGGTATGAAGAATATACCTTATTTAAAACCGGATTCTCTTTTGTCCTCACCTGACATGCCATCCAAGCTGCTGCCTCTACGGACAGTAGCTTATCGGATCACTGGATGCCTTACTTTCAATTTTCACACCTGTTAAGAACTTTGAGTAAGATAACTGATTAGGAAAATCCCGAATAGGAACATTTTCATTATTTTTATTTGCAAAAATTAATGTTTATCAAATTGAATTGTTAGTTTATTCATTATTGTAGTGTATTAAGTGATACAGAAGCAAAATGCATAAACATAAAGACATTTTGCCATGGTGGATTGCTTACAAGGAGAGTGAGGGATATCTTTCTGGTTATTTCTTCATTTATACAAACATACCCATCAAGGCTTGTATGTAAATTCAGTTTTCGCAAAAACATGTACACACATACAATATACTGTAATGTACATACTGAGGAGTGTTACTGGCTGTAGAGGAGAGGTGTGTTTACTGTTTGTCCTCCAGTGTTCATTTGTTCCTTCTTCATTCCCTCTGTGACATTTTCATTGTAATAAAGTATTCTGGGTGCATTGGCTTGATGGAAACAGCACCGCATGGGACATCAACAGATACAGAAAACACGTGAGGTGCCAACAGGGCAAAAAGAAAAAACACTGTCATTTTCACACAGTGACAGATGGATGTAGAGCAGCTCAGGTTCATCACGGGTTTTGCATCTGGTCCTAAATGGCATCTATTCTTGCGGTCAGAAGCAAAAATACAGCAGTGAATTATCAGCTTCAGCCCCAGAAGAAAATAACTTCAAAACATAACGCAGAGGACCCGTCTCATCGATACAGCTGAA